TTTCTAGCTCTGTACGGCTAGAAGTCTGAGATCAAGCTGTGAGAAGGGTTGACCTCTCTTCTTGGTTTATAGGTGATCAACTTTCCCCTGTGTCTTCACATGGTCTTCCACGTGTCTGTGTCCTAATTTCCTTTATAAGGACAACCGTCACATTGAATTAGGGCCTGCCTTAATGACCTCAGCTTATCTGCACTACCTCTTTGAAGACTGCATCTCCAAATACAGTAACATTCTGAGGTCCCAACAGTTAGGACTTCGACACACAAATTTGGAGGAAGCACAGTTCGGCCTTTAACACCTGCTTACCTCTTATCATTCTCCACTACCAACTGTTCTCCAAACGTCTCTGGTCAAATCACATCAAAAAACTGATTCTTTTTCTTCCGCTGAATTTTATTTGCTTACTTTTAAACAAGTTAAATCTCTAAGGGATGCAACCCCACATGGATTCTGTGGCCAACAGCCTTAGCAGGAAGCTTGCTTCAGAATTTGGCCCAAACCAGGCTACTGTTCCATGGAAGTGGGTTATCTTTCCCTGGATGACTCTGGTTTTGTTTGGTTTGTCTCCAGACGTCACTATTTTGTTTTCCCTAGATAAAATTTGCGTTCGCGTCAGGCATAAACACTTTCAGTTTTAAGAAGAGCTGTGTACGCCCTCTGATTTGCAAGAGCTTGCTTACTGCCAGCAAAAATGCTTGGACCACAGCCTTCCAGACATAATTGGTGTTTTCGAAGTCACGATCCCGGCAGGCCTCCACAGGGTCCAAGATGGCAAATAGAGAGCTACTGGCTGGTTCTGGAAGATGCTGTGCTGGTCTACGCCTCTAGGCTCTGTCCATGCTCTGACCTCTGCCAGAAACGCTCTCCCCACTTTGCCCAGAGAACATCTTCATCCAACCTATGTCTCCTTCAAGAGTCAGCTGATATGCCCACTCCTCTCTGAAGCCTTCATCGCAGTGTCTTGTCTCCTCATGTCCTTTTCTCTCACACTCCATGATGATAGACAGTTGCCTCAGCATCTCTAGTATGTACCAGGCATCAGTAAACGTGTGTTGTTTGCGTGGGTGGTTCATGGTTGGTGCCAGGGATTCTATCCTGGCCGTGGCCCGTATTTTCCCACCAGCTTTGACCTCAGTGTGGACGTCTTTTACATATTTGAATGCTTTCACTCTGGGTAAAGGCAAAGTGGATCTGGGCACCATACTTCCTAGTCTCTATTTGTGGTAGGCAAAATACTGACTCTTCCAAAAATGTCCTAAGCCCTGGAATAGGTAAATAGGTTACACAGCACAGGGAAATTAAGGCTGCAGTTGGAACTGAGATTGCTAGTAAACTGACCTTAAAACAGAGATATTATCTTGGATTATCCAGAAGGGCCCAACGCAATCCCAAAGGCTCTTAAAAGTAAGAGTGGCGCAGAAGGGAGCGTCAGGCGGAGAGGTGGTGGAAGAACGGTCAGAGAGATGCAACGCTGCTGGCTTTGAAGATAGAAAAGGGGTACAGTGAGCCGAGTAATACAGGCAACCTCTAGCAACTGGAAAAGGCAAGGAAGTGGATTCTCCCCTAGAGCCTCTGTAGAGGATGCGGCCCCGCTGACACTGCGATTTTAGCCCAGGGAGACGATGTCAAGACTTCTGACAGGACGGTAAGATAGTACATTTGTGTTGTGTTCAGCCCCTAAGCTTGTAGTAAGTTGTTTCAGCAATCAAAAACTTATCCACCATCCTAAACAGACCTCTTCTCATCACTGGCCTCGGGCCCCAGTCCTACTTCACACGTGCCAGAGAGGGACAGCTTGCATTACCAGCATTTGGGGAGGTTCCCGATTCAAGGACCTGGGCCTCTGAAGACCCATGAGGAGCCATAATAGTAAAGCATTTGGTGAGTTTCACTGAAGGGACGTTCTGTGCAGACATTATGACAGGACGTATGTGATTACACAGGATCAAATATGCTCCGGCTTGTTCAGTCTATAGGATAGAAGAGGTATGCAGGTAGTGGCCAAACGAAGGTTACTAAGAGGGGCAGTTGCTCCTAACGGGGATCTGTTGGGACACAGTTACTAGAATCTCACTGTCTTCTAAAGCAACTCACTTTGAGAATTTTCCAACGGGCTAAGAATTGGTACAATGAATTACCTAAAGGGGCGTGATGCTCCTGTCTGGACTATTTAGGACCAATCTCTGCAGAAAGTGGGGCTGGCACTGAGTAATATTTGGAAGGTAGGTCATTCTTGTAGGAGAAACGGCATGGAACGGCTCGGTGCTGGCGGTGCTCTGCCAGAGGTGCGCCTCAGAGGTGCTAGTCTTACAAAAATGAAAACGCAAGTTGACGGTAAATCTTGAAGAGGATGCAGTACAGAAACACCGGAACACAGATCGTGAGCGGGAGAAAACCGGGGGACAAGTGTCGACGAGTGAGGGCACGATCCAGACCCTGGGGGACCGATGGGGCGATAGGGAGCCACGACAGATTCTCGAGGAGAGGAGGATGCAGTGAGGATAGAGGGTCCAGGCTGAAGGTGCTGCTGTGGGCGGCAGAGGCAAGGGAGAAGGGGAACCTTGGTAATTACCAGCTTCCGCTCTGAAGCCCCATCACTGACTCTTCCTACCATTCCCAGTGCCTCAAATCTGACAGTTCGGGCGTTGTGTTTTTAGTTAACATTGACAAGATTGGGAACTTCATCCACTTAATTTCCATTAAAGTCTTTGAGGATGATGCACTGACTTTTTAAACAAAACTAAAAAGAAAAGAAAAAACAGCCTGTAAATAGATTCTCAAAACTTCCCTCTCATCCGCAGCTCACCTAACCAGACCAACTAAGTCCTGCATTAAAGGTAAATAACGCGCGTGTAAATATTCAGCCTTTTTTCCTCCTCTATTAGGTGCCTGAGAGACCAATGATATTTTAACAAATAAGCTGTGACATTCTCGTAGCCTGACATCAAAATGCAGGTATGGGCCTATAAATTGAAGGATAATCATAAATAAAACAGTAATATCTACAGAGCTCTTTGCACCGTTCCTGGCGTCTTCACACTCATCTGTGTGGTTGGACTTCACAAGCACTGTGTGGAGTTGGCCTAACAGAGACTTAGAGAGCTTGAAAGCCAGGCATCAACCCCAGGCAGCATCACTCAAAACCTTTGCTCTTTACCCAGAACCACAGTGCTTCTTCTGTTTGAACAAATGTCACGCCATGTGCGAGAAGAAACAAGACGTGCAGCCCAATGATACAACATCCAAGCTCCAATGGCCGGCAAGGCCAAGACAGAATACTGACTTCCCGCAAAGCCACAGTGGGCACGGGCCCCCTTGGAGCCCGTGACCTTGTTCCGGGTCTAGAAATGCTGAAGTGGGAGCTGCCGGCAGAGAAAAGGCTTGGATCATCTGGAAAATGCATCTGGTGTGAAGAACGCAATTGCAGTCTCCTGAGCTGTAAGGCGTCACGGACTATTTCACACCTAGTTCAATCCCCGCATCAAGGATTATTGTGCAAACGCCGGACAAGCAGATCCCACCACATCCCCTGACCAGGCCTGTTCCAGACCAGCAGAACTAGGGGTAGGAGGGGGGCAGAGCTTTGCTGCTAGGAGCTAAAGCGGTGAGCTCTGAAATGAGCTCTTAACAGCTCTCTTTCTGCTCCATCCAAAATGCCATCTTTCAGCTGCGTTAATTGGACTGACGGGCACCCATGGCTGCAATGACCTTTGCCATCAGCGTCCACGTGGCGCCCACCATGCAGGCACAAAAAATGCAACCCTGCAGGCCACTGCAGTGCAACCAGCACACCAGTTCTTCTGGGGAAATGGCATTTCCCTGTCAGTTAAAAAACGTATGGGATCTAGGAGACGAGAAATCAACAGGTTTGGGTGCATAGCCAGGCACAGTGCCGAGCTTTCACCGATATCTCCTCCGTGCTTTCTTGTGAACAGTGTGCCAAGTTGTTACAAAAGGCCAGGGCAAAGAAAAGGAAACTGAGGGTCCACGAGTATAAGCGACTCCCCCGTGGCCACAGAGCGCCCGCTCATTCACAGGTTAAAAACAGCTCATTTGTGACATCCAAAGTACGTCACGATGTGGCCCCTGCCCACAAGGATAGCACAACTAGGATTAAACCCAGGCCCACCTTTTTCCAAAACCCAGGTTCCATGTTTCTTTTGATCCAAAGACTAGCCCAAATAAACAAGTGAATACAGATCTTTCTACCGCCCCACGCTGTGCTCTGGAAGGATGGGCCAGGCAGAGAGGAAAAGGCTCTCAACCAGAACGACGGAGAAAAAGAACCACTGAGATAATCGGACAAAGCTGATGAACGACCAGAGTGTTCTCCATGTCATTCGCCTGGATCCAGACCGCGCCAGGAGGATTATCCCAAAGAAAGTGACCACGTGATTTGAAATGCACCTGGGGCACCCACCGACACCTTTGGAAAACGTGGCCCCAGGGAGACTGTACATCTTGGCCTGATGGGGGAGTGTGGTAAAGAGCACAGAAGCCCCCCACTCCCCCAGATCGACGCACGCCCTGCTCAGCTGTGCTTCTCCTGTGGGAGATACTCCCCTCTGTGATAGCAGCAGTGCACGTCAGGGCTGCTCCCTCCCCTGCTCCAGTTCCAACTACCGATGGCTGTGACTTGAACCCTGTGCCGGGCTGGCCTCCAGTTAGTTACAGACACAAAGCCTTGGCACCAGGAAGCTGAGTGCCCCCCACAAGGCCGAGTAATGCACCCAACGGGACGCTTATCAGCCCTTTGAAGCCCAGAGCTGACTTAGCCAGTATGGATGGTGGTGGAGCTGGTGGGGCAGAGTGACGCTTCAGCTGTCATCTGGGACCAGGTCAACATTTCACAGAAGCCTCAGTCCCTGTTTTGTCATCTTCCCCCCACCCCAACCAGCCATAATCCTGGGGGCCAGCATCACGCACGTGCACAGAGCTGACTCAGCCATCTGCCATCAGGCTGTTATGCACAGCGGCTGAGAGCGGAAAACATCACCTACCTTCACAGCCCAGCCTCCGGCAATGACCTGTTGTGGCTCCTGGATCAAGCCGCTTCTTCCCTCCGTGCCTCAGCTTCTCCTCTGTAAAATAGGGATTGTTATGAGATTTCACGAGAAAATCCCCCCAAAGCATTTATGCCGTGTCTGACACGCCAGTGACCATTTCTACCTCCACACAGCTGCCACACCCAGGATCGTAAGGCCACTCACAAGCTTTCTGGCTCTGAAATCTTAAAATCTGACATCTGACCACAGCCTGTGTCTCTTCAGCTCCCTCAATCACCTGCCATCTTCTGTCTGGCCTTATCACGATGCCCAGTCCCTCGAGTGGCTCACCTTGAGCACCTCAACCTCCCCGCTTAACCCTTCCCTTCATTCCATTCTTCTTTTAAAATTTATTTATTTTATTTTTGGCAGCACTTGGTCTTTGTTGCTGCACCCGGGCCTTTCTCTAGTTGAGGCGAGCGGGGTCTACTCTTTGCTGCGGTGCGCGGGCTTCTCATTGCGGTGGCTTCTCTTGTTGCGGAGTGCCGGCTCTAGAGCACTGGCTCAGCAGTTGTGGCGCACAGGCTCAGTCACTCCGCGGCATGTGGGATCTTCCCGGACCAGGGCTCGAACCCATGTCCCCTGCATTGGCAGGTGGATTCTCAACCACTGCGCCACCAGGGAAGCCCTCTTCATTCCATTCTTACGATCCATCACGTCAACCATCCTCTGGGTTCTTGCCCCTCAGTGCCTCTGTTACATGCCCCAGAAGAACCCAACCATGGGTCAAACCAAACATCTACCCCTGGTGCTGCCCCGCTGGGCCCCTCCTCACCCTGGAGGTCATGACCCAGCCACGCCCTATCCTGGTCCCCATCCCAGCTGCGGCATCAACACACCTTGGTTCCCAGGCCAACTCCCTCCATCACTCTAAGGAGAGGTGCTCCACTATTCTCAAGTCCCACAGCACAGCACCTGGCTTCCTACTTCCAAATGGTAATAGAGGGATTAGGTATAAACCCCCTCAATGTTTTGTTTCACTGCCCACAAATTTATTTATTTATTTAGAGTCAATTTTGTTTATTTATTTTTGGCTGCGTTGGGTCTTCATTGCTGTGCGCGGGCTTTCTCTAGTTGCGGTGAGTGGGGGCTTCTCTTCAATGCAGTGTGCGGGGCTTCTCAGTGCGGTAGCTTCTCTTGTTGCAGAGCACGGGCTCCGGGCACGCGGGCTTCAGTAGTTGTGGCTCGCAGGCAGTAGAGCGCAGGCTCGGTAGTTGTGGCGCATGGGCTTAGTTGCTCCGCAGCATGTGGGATCTTCCCAGACCAGGGCTCGAACCCGTGTCCCCTGCACTGGCAGGTGGATTCTTAACCACTGCGCCACCAGGGAAGTCCTGCCCACAGATTTAGAAGCCCCCACATCTCTTTTTACCACGTCCTCCTCCTTGGGGGCAGATGTCCCTGCTTCCACTTTCCTCTGTACCAAGCATCACGCAGGAGTCTTGCCCATCAGTTTTCACTTCTGTATTCTGTGCTTCCAGGCTTCCCCTCACTAAAGACCCCTCCCCTCAGCATATAAATATGCCCAGGCTTCCCAAACCTTAAAAAGAGAAGAAAAATCTCCCTCACCCCTCTCTCCCCCTCCAGCCCCTTCATACAGACAAGCTTCTCCAAAGAGCTGTCCACACTCCTCACTCTGCTCCTTCACCTTCGCTGGCTCTGCAGTCTGGCTTCCTGAGAAATTACTCTAAGAAGGTCAATAACAAACATGGAGTTGCACTTGACCCCCTTCTCTTCTTCCCTTCTCCCATCCGGTAATTTAAAGTTTGATCAACTCTGACCCTACCCACATAATAGCTTTTAAATCTTTCCCAGCTCTCTAGCCCACTAGCAGGGGTGTGTTCTGGATTTCCAAATTTGTCCAAAGATATTTAATTCATACACATCGCCATCCAGCCTCTACTCCAAGCTAAGAGGGAATATAGGCATGTTACTCTCCTGACTCACCATTCTAAAACGGTTCCCACTGCCTCTAGGGGTAAATCTGCTCTCCTATGCGTGGTGTACAAGGACAATCTGGCAGCAGTGAACATGGCCTTCATAAGGGCTAACTGAAGGATGGTGACTGGGAATTTAAATGGACATGAGCTCCCCTCCGTCAGGGCACATATTCATTTCCCTCTTTTGAAAACAATGCTCTTAGTAGGAGCGAAAAGTTTTTTTAAACTTTCAGAGGAAATTCATCAAATGTGGCCCGAACTGGAATACATTTATAGCATAACGGAAATGTCCTTTTCAGGAACAAATTTTATGTGGTTATTTCTTGAGATGGCTCTCCTACTACAGAAGACACCACTTAACAGAGAATATGCTGTAAGAGGCAACTTTCTTAAGAACCGGATGTTATCTCGTGTGATATTTGCAAGTCCAGGACCAAAGGGTCCTTCTCCCTGCCCACTGCATGCCCAACTGTTTGCTCCGATCCTCAGCCCTCAGATTCCAGCCCTCTGACCTAGATGGATGTGGCAGTCATTACTATGCCCCTTTCCAGAGGAGGACCCTGAAATCCTACAAGGAAAGGGATTTTTCTTGGGTCCCATGTCCAGTGTCTGTAGCAGAATTGGGACCGAAAGCTGGTCTCTTGCCACTGTGGTGTGGGGTGTCGCCCATAGGACCCCAGGGTCCACACGGTCTAATATGAGAAGCCCCTTAGGAGCTGGGTCAGATGTATGTCAGCACAGAGGCTGTGATGGGTACGAAGACGTCTGGACCACTGGCAACCACACAGATGTGTGATGAGGAGGAAATGGTGGAGGAGCCTCTAGAAGGAGGAGTAGGGACGGATGCCCCCGGCACAGGGAGTTCAGGATAAAGGAGGAAGCAGGACGCGCTCAGCCCCCAGGCTCAGCCCCACAGGAAATGGCTCTACACTCCTCGCTCTGACTTAACAAGCACTGAATTCCTCTCTGAGAAAGTGTTTTCACCAGAGCATCTGGTCCCACCCTAGAATACCAAGCAGAAGACAGTCAGATAACCACTCTGATTTCTTACCCCACCATCTTTCTACTGAGCCAGTTAATAATTCCACATCAGTCCAGGTCTCTGGCGGCCCAACCAGCTCCATGCTGAACGACTCCCAAACTCCCAACATCCAAGCCAATGCACGGTGCCCTGACATTGTCGGCACAGCCTGCAGCCCGGCATGGACCCACCTACCTTGCCAACACACACACACACACACACACACACACACACACACACACACGCACACGCGCACACACACACGCACACACACACACGCACACTTTGCCTGATACGCTTCCCCCAGTCGTGGTCTCAGAGTCAATGAATGACCAGATTCTCCACCCAGTCACTCAACCTCATGTTGAGGAATCAACTTCAGTCCTGCTTCCCAAGCAGCCCAGAGAGTCCAGTTTGTCCAAACCCCATGAGCTGTCCCCCTGTCCCCAGTCCCCACCCTGCCCACCTGGGTCCAGGACCTCCTCATCCCTCGCCTGGATCACGTCTCCCCGATCCTCCCCAACCCCCATCCGCCCCTCCTCATAACCACTCCAGGCCTTTGGAGAGGCCTCTCTAAGACAAACTATAACCACAGAACTCCTCTGCTTAACCTCCTTCAGTTCCATTGTCCACAGTAAACCCCAGGCCCCCCATTATTTATAACCCTGAATCCCAACCCTTCAGCGTGCTAACCACCGAAGGCCAATCATTCATTAATTCATCGACTCGACAAACATTCACTGAGTATCTATTCCATGGCGGGCACTGTTCCAGGCACTTGGGATAAATCAGAAACAATGACTCCTGCCTCCATGGAGCTTACACTCTAGGTGATGGAGAAAACGTAAGTAATAATCATAATAAATGTGTAAATTACTGTGTAATGTAGGAGGTGGTAAGTGCTGTGGGAAAAAGAAGATGGAGGATGAAGAAAGGAAGTCTAGAGTGCGGGAGGGGTGACAAGTGTCAACTGGGTGGTCAGAATCACCCTAACTGAGAAAAGGACATTGGGGCAAAGACTTGAAGCAGGTGAGGCTGTGAGTCTCAAGGATATCCAGAGGAAGACCAGGCCAGCCGGTGGGAGGAGCCAGTGCAAAGGCCCTGAGATGTGCTGGGGAAACAGCACGGAGGCCAGTGTGGGCAAAAGAAATTGAACAAGAGGGAGAGGAGGGGGAGACGCCATCAGAGACGATAAGGAGGCCAGACTATGCTCCTCTGTCAGTCCCTGCCCTGCACCTCACGAGTCCTTTCTCTGAAATGTCACTGTCGCAATTCCCCGAGCAAACTGGGTGCTCTCGTGCGTCAGTGCCGTGCCTGTGTTCTGGTGCTATACTTGACTGACCACCAACCCTCCTGACCGCCCTCCCAGAGCTCTGACAAGCCCATTTCCTCGCTCCCATTTTCCTTGATCATAAAGGCAACAGAGCACAAAACACACTGAAATGCAATTACCCAACTCCCTGTCTACATAACCCCCTGGACTGAGCTCTTTCAGGATAGGAATCCTAACATCCCTTTCCTCTCGGTTTCCCTAGGAAGCACCACGTGGCTGGCTACAGAGCGGATGGACGGAGAGAGTCCGCAGCAGAAGGGTAGGAGAAAGGAAAGTTGGAAAATACTGCTTTGCCTGAAAATTGAGATTATCTTGGTCGAATACACACTTAACCTCTTTGAAACTCAGTTTCCCAAGATAAATATGACAATCTTGGCTGTACCTACCTCCCAGAGTTATTTTGGGAGTCAAAAAGAGAACGGATAGGACACGCCTCACAGAGTGAGACTAACCAAGTGCAGAGGGTCATCATTATGGTTCCTGGTGTTATCTAGATGTGTTTGCAAAATGGAGCAAGGGGAGCCTGACTCCCTGTGGAGAACAGCCCTCCGGGTGACGTATGAGGAGGGTCCTTCTACTGACCCATTCACATTTCTGTCCAGCCAGGTCCAGGCGGCACGGACTGTCTGAGCCACACCTGCTGTGGGAATACCAAAGACCCCCTCCCAACTCAATGCTACCCCCTCAAATTGTCAAAAAGGCATCGTGTGATAAATAGAGCTCCCACATGCCACAAGGCAAGTGT